TTTAAAAATTTTTATTATTTTTATATTGACGGCAGGTTTATTATTTGGGCTCCGAATGGAGCTCTTGGCTACTTTTTCTTTAGAAGTGGTTCCTTGCTCCTCTACTTAATAAAAGGTTCCGATTTGTGAATCATGGACCCAAAAAAGTACACCTCTTTTAATAATAAGTACTCATACCCAAACATATTTTTGGAAACAAAATCTATAACAGTCTTTCTAAGTTTTGTTTAGAACAAGAACTTGAACTACAATTTCCATAACTTTCTAGCATGATAAAACGGACAGATAGAGATTAAAAACAACATTTTTGTTTTAAATTTTTTCTCCAAATTGGTATGATAAAAAAAAAACTCAAACAATTACGAAACAAAATTCTTTTTTCGGTTTTTTAGCAAAATTATTGTTAAGGTGAAATTTTACTAGTTTTTTGTCAATGCATATTTTTTTTTTAAAATGCTATAAAATGACATAGTTTATATGAATGTACTATAACTTGTTAATAAATTGTTTGATGTTATTATAAAATGCCGATAACAAATAAAATTATATGAGAAAATAATAATGATTCACAAATTAAGGTAAATATCGTAAATTGTATTCATTGTTTTTTGAATCATTTTAATATTTTACGGTAGATTCACATTGAAGTCATTTGAATATTATTGGTATTATGAAATTACTAAGTATATCTTGTATTTTAGTATTTTGGGCAGATTATCGACAAGCTTATAATTTTTAAATTCCACCTTCAATTGATTTGAAAATAAAAATAATTTCGATTAGAATTGGAAAGGGGAGAAATTTCTTTGTTCCGAATGAGTCAATGTATCGTGGTTCGAAATGTTATGAAATGTGAATTTTAGAATTAAATTTTATAATGAAAATGTAGAAGAAATTGTTATACATTCCTCGATAATCATCGCTGAGATTTTAAAATATTTAAGTTTAAAATATTTTTGTTAACTTTTACATAATATGAAATTATTAAAATTATTTCAAAATAAAAAGAAATATAATTTAATTTAAAATATCTACATAGAAAATTTCGGTAACTTCTAAAGTATTCTAAATGATAAAACACCCCATTTTGATTTTTTGTAGACAAAACATTTAAAAATGCTCTTATAAAACTAAATTAAAGTAGTAATTGGTAAATCAATGGCTAATCAATTGAAACTGAAATTTAAAAACTTTAGAAATGTTGTATGTATGTAAAGATTTTGTATTTCTGCTAAACTTGACATTTGTACCAATATTACATCTTTTACAAGAGTATCTTCAATTAACATATTTTTATAATTTCATTTATAGCAAAAAATTTTATGACAAAGCGAATATGGAAATTGTAACAAGTTTCTTTTTGCTTCTCTTCTAGAGAGAGCAGTACATGGCATTAACATACTCAATATATACGAATAGTTCTTAATCGCCTGTCTATATTTTTCTTATTTTAGTGTATAATATGTTTTAAAAAAGATTTCGCATTTAAAAAATTTAAATAGTCATAAAATACAAAATATATAAAAATTAAAAAACTGGAGATAAAACAACGTCATTAAAAATCATGTGTTTTTTTTTATTGCTATTTTATGTCTAAAAATGTAAACATTTAATCCGTAATTATCCGGATATAGAATCACTAATACTGGAACAAAGAGAAATTTTTTCTAAATTAATGCATGTCCATGAGACATTACTGCCTTCATATAAAAATTGAATCGCATAATATTCACTTTGTGATAGATAAGGTGCAGATAACGGTATAAAAAAAGTGTGTCTAATTTAGCAAACGTTTAAATTTTCATTACCAAAAACAAAAAACTTTTTATAATTATTACACAATATATACATTATAATTAAGCATCGAACATATATGTCAACACAAGTTCGCATATATACATATAAATATACATTCATTAAACCGCTGTTATCAAATTCAAGTTTCTGTTTTTGTTTTAAAAAAAAGCTTTCGCTCATTCGTTTCTTGTCATTTTTGCTTTTAAATTTTTTACCTTATACAATTATAAATTTTTATCACGAAGAAATTCATTTCTAAAGTTCTATCTACTTATAACATAAAAATTTCACTTTGCTTATACATTTACTTTATATGTGTATGTGTATGTATTAAAAGGTTTGTATTATAACACCTGTTCTAATAATTTTTATTTTTGTTTACGTTATACTTTCATAATATTTTTATTATATTTGTACTAGCATTAAGTATTTTTAAATATCTGAAGCATATAGTTATATAATTTGCCGAATTTAATTAGTTAAAGATTTAAAAATCTACGTCAAAAAATAATTTGTATTGTTTAAACAAAAAGAAGTATGAAATTACTATAATAAAAACTTGAAGATTTGCATTATTTGCTGTAGAAATTAAAAAAAACATACGAAATTCTCGAGATACGATATTTTGAGTTATGACACAATGTAATTTGAAGCAATTTGTTTTGTTCGATTTACAGTATTGTTTCTAACGCAGCATTGAGAGATGTCATAAATTACAAGTAAAACACAATTTTTCCACTTTTATAATTTTAGTTGATTTTTGGCACATTGTTTAAGAAGAATTTACCTATTACTTTTATTCTGTCTGTGTATCAAGATAGAAGAATGGAACAATGTACTTCAATAGCTTTGAGGAAAATATTATTTCTCTAATTCGAATGCAATGAAATTTTTACGTATTCCCCCTTCTCCTTAAGGTAATAATCCTGCTCAGGTAATAATCATGCATTAACCCTTCAAATTAATTATCTCAAAATTAATTTTCGCTAACTTTCGGTGTTTTCTCATATAAAGTAAATGGATATCAAATTTTAACAGCTTAATAGTACAATTGAATCTTCATTGTAGTATAAGTTTTTTAAAATTACTATATACTTCGAGGCATCCCCTAAATTTATGCAAAATTATGTGCTAATAAAATAATTAAAAGTTTAATAAATTGTTCTCATTCTTTGGACCTAAAGCTACTTATATACAAAATTCTTAAAGGAAAATGTGCTATTTTACAGACATTAGTTTGATCGAGTACTTGTTTTTAATAAGTAGATACGTACATATGTATACGCTAAATTAAAAAACTTTTTCTAATTATTTTTTAATTTTGAATTATATGCACTATTTTCTCGCTTAGTGATTAATATTTTTGGAGTTCAAAGTGTTGTATCTTCAGAACATTAGGCGACATCTCAATAAACTAGGCCTGAAAAGTGGAGACACTTGCAGGTTCTGTGGGGATCTGTTCTGTAGGGACTTCAATACACCTTTTGGAAAAGTGTGTTGCTTTCGGTCGCAGGGGAAGGGAAACACCTGGGTACATGCTCTGATGACGGCGGAGTGATTAATTTATTGAATTATGTGACGAATAACTTGAAAAAGACGACTTCAGTAGACTTGAACTCCTATACAGCATGTAGGAATTACTAGACTAAACTTAATTAAACACATAAACTGAAAATCATTTTTTAGTTAATTTTAAATCAATGTAAATTTCGAGTTGTGTTTTGATTATAAAAATATGAAAATATAAATGAGTCAGTTAATGTTGTGCTTTGGTTGAGTAACTAAACACTTAAAAGTTAAGGAAAAAAATTGAAATTATCATAAAAAAAAACTTAAAAGCTATTTTTAATATAACAAAAACGTCATTAAGGTGATTGTCAATTTTTTTTTGGAATTAAAATTCATTGAAAAATTTTATAATTTATAATTATTGTAATAATGCAAGTAAAATATTTAATTAATCTATTGTTCTATGGATAATTTTTATTAAATTTTACAATATTTAAGCAAAACTGCATTACAATTCCAATACAATAACTTAATAATTTCTTGTGATTTCCAATATAACACACTTAATAATTTCTTATGATAAATAATGAGTGAATTTTAAAAATAAAAATTAAAAAAATGCGTCTAACAATATTTTAATCAATTCAGTTCAACTTATTTTTAACTCTAACACAGAATACTTCCGATATTACAAACAATTGGGAGTATTTAAAAATTTTGCGATTAAGAAAAACATCATCATATAAAATATTTTTGGTAAATAAAACTATGGGACCATAGGATTAATGTATTTAATTATGCATATAAAAATTAAGTTGCCAAATGTTTTCAGAAACTAAATACTATTATTTTTATGTGAAAACCTTATTCTGCATCATAAATTTCTAGTACCAATGAATTTAATGAAATAATTTCAAAGAACTATTTATTTTAGGGTTTAAGATTTGCTTGCATTTATTTCTTTTATATACTTGTCCCTTTCAAATATATAGGTATGTATATGTTCGTAATATGACAAAATTCGATAAACATAAAAATTCGGCTTGCAATATTAATAATTGCGATTGACAGTTTATTATTAAGTGAACTCATTGTATACATTTTATGTAAATATTTATGCTTGAATTATATTAACACGTGTTTTATAATGATTTTATTTAATTTTATTATTTATTTATAAAAGTATTAGCACAAATTTCATTGAAAAAATATTATAAAGAAAAATATTAATTTTTCTTTAATTTATGTTTAATATTTGAATTTTTTTTTATGCATTAGTTCCATTAGTTTCCTTTATAGTTCTAGTATTGAAAATTTGTATACGAAATATAATATTATTATAAAGATTTACTACTATGTAAACATTAATTATTAATATTATAAAGTAATTGTTGAATAATTGTCATTATTCAGTAGTTATTTTATAATAAATGATGAGAGGTGACTAAAATGGGGACGAGAAAATTTTACGGACTAACAATTTACTAAAATAATAACTTAATTTACAGCAATAGTAGATAAATTTATTATAGTTAATTGCTTTTTATTTTAAATCACAAAATTTATTTAGTTTTTCTAAACACACACACATAATATATGTATATACAATTTGTTCAACAGAAATATTTTTATGAGATTTATGAAAATATATATGTATGTAAGCAGGTATATAGTTAAGGTATACTTTCACGTACATTATAACGTATGAATGTTTGCTGATTATTGATTATCATTAACTGATAAAACACAAATTACTTTTTTCCTTTTTTAAATATAGAAATTTAAATGCAAATAATTTTTACTATAGATAAACACGAAGTTACGAGGTATTTAAGTCAAACAATAAAAAAAATGTAATTATTAAAAATTAAAAAAAAAATAAAAATATACAAAAAAAAAAACACATAAAATATTTTGTTCTATTCACTTTAAAAGCTTAAATTGTACTGAACTCGAAGGTGGTTGAATTATTCATACATGAATTTGGTGCTCATATAATTTTCTATAACAGTGAATTAATTTATAAAATTTACTAGAGTTAATTTTTTTGTTTTTTTTTGTTTTTGCTTTTATTTATTCGGTATTTTTATTTTATTTTTATTGTTTTTGGTTTTTTATTCTTATCCAAATTAATTATGATCTTCCTGTGTTTCTCAAAAGCAGAAGAGTAAGATTAAAAAGAAAGAATATACGAACAAAATAAATGCTATGACGAACACCATTTATGTGTTGTACTCGTTCATTTGTTAAATATTTTGTATTGTCATACAAGTAAGTAATTCTAATATAAAACAAATAAAAGTTCTGAAAAACTAATTTTGTCAAAATTGAAATAATCGCATATTCTAAATAAAAATATGCACTCAAATAGTTTAAGAGTTTTTCCGAATATTGAGACACAATGGGGTAAATTTTTAAATATTCTACTTAATAAAATTTGTAAATCGAAAAGGTTTACTAATTTTCAAAGAGGAAACTTTTTAATAATATGCCGCAAAATCGAATGAAATTTAATTTTCACTCCTATATTTGTTGTTCTCTATTTCAAGATCTGGACTGAAAAATTTCCTGAGTCTTTCCAACGGTTTCTTTCACACTCAATTACATTTGTTGAATTTCCTGATATTCCAAAAATTTTTTATTAGTATTCAATTCTAAGCAACAATATATTTTCTTCATGGGGTCTTAACAACTGTAACATCAGGAAATACTTTTTTCCTGGTATAACATACGTCGCATAAAAGTTTTAAATTCATGTTAGAAGAACAAACCTTTATTTGAAAAATGTATCGGTCAGCTTAATGTAACCAATTTCGTAGTTAATTTTTAAGATTTTAAGTGGTTGGAACTTTACAGTCAAATATTAAGAACTATGCATGTATGTTATCACTTCAGCGGTTTTAATTTAAATTTGCCTTCTGTTAAAGAACTCTTTGAAGGGTGTTCTGTTAAAGAACTCTTAAAAAAAAAACATCTTCCCAAACCCCTTAATAGTTTAGATAAAACTAGAATAAGGCGAATTATTACATTTTTTGGAGTTCGAGAAATATTTAAGAACAGGGATGGGGAATCTTTTCTCTATATAAGGCCAAATTTTAGTCAATGCAAAGTCAATCAGGCCGCAAAGTTTAAAAAAAGTCCAAAGGTTATAAATTTTTGCTTTGTGTAGGTTGATGAAAACAAAATTATGTCAGAATATAAAAAATAACATAAAACAGTTTATTTCATAAATAAAAATAGATAAGTACTCGTAAGTATGTACATTATTAATAAAATAATATGGTTCATTATTTCAATGACTTTTCTGTGATTGTTTGTTGCTCGATAACAATTTTATATTTGGTTCCAGCCTCGTTTGGCAGCAAAATTTTAACTTTTAAGAAATATAAGAAATAAATTTTTTTAAGGACAAAGGCCACTAAAAAACAGTTAAAAGGCCGCATGCGGCCTTAAGGCCGCAGGTTCCCCATGCCTGTTTAAGAACATGTTAGTGTTAATACTTTATATTGATGATAGTGTGACAAAAATAATCAGCATGCAATTAGAATTGATATTCATGCCAAAAATTAAAAAATGGCATATTTTAAATAAATCGCTTATTATATAATTATAATGGTTATTAAATATCTCTATATTTTATCCCTGTACCTATAGTGTGGGACAATACGAATTTTATAAGATATGGTCAATTACATCATATTAAAGGTTATTAACGTTATTTTTTTAAACTACACAAAATATATTCTTTGAAAAAAAAAACAATATTTGTACATAATGCAATTTTGAGTAAATAAAAATTTTTTTTGGAAAAATATTATGTGTAAAATATTAAATGATCTATATAAAAAAAAAAATTGACTTAATTTACCCTTTGTTTCTAATAAAAATTAATAACGAACCGAGCTTAAATGTTTTAATAAAAGTGTTTTCGAGTAGTTGTAGGTGCGTTTTCTTGTACAGTAATTTGGATGTAAGTATGAGTACAAATACGTAACGGGAATGAAGAGAGCAAAATTGTGCATAAATACATAGAGGCATAAATATTATACATATATTACATAATATTGTTATATGGTATCACCGAGTACATGATTAAACAGTTAATATTGCGAATACATATGTATGTAGGTATATATAAAAAAATTTAATACATTTAGTTGTACATATGCATATATTGCGGTTGTTGTGCTTTACAATGAGTTTGTACGCTTCATAAAACTCAAGTTCATCTTACGTGTTCATTTTGATTTCTATGCCTAGGACTGAAATCTATTTAGTAGTCCAATTATGTCTGAATTAATGAACGTAAATACAAAAAATGTTTTAAGATTAGATACCTTTTTTCTTTTTGATTTTCATGTTAAACTCATTCTAGTTAAATCTTCTAATAAATTTTAATTTATTGTACCTCCGATGGTACTTTCCTGTGAAAAAGTTTCCGAAAAGCTTAAAAAACATTGCTAATTTTATCTTTTATTGATATAGAAGTAGGGTTTCTCATTAAGGGTGTCCGAATTTGTTTCGAAATAAAATATGGAATGAATTGAGAAAAAAGATTTATTTTTATTTAAGTTTGAGGGTATGTTTAAAGGAAAATAGTGTTCAAATTTAGGATACCATTCAGGATCATCGGTTGCGCTAACAGAAGCTAATGAATCAAATTTTCGATTCGACGAATCCAATTTTCTTTAATTTTGTATAATTAATATTGTATTCTAAATAACGCAGTGTTAAATATTTGTTTTCAAAATGGTATTTCCCACTGGTTAAGACCAAACGTCAACCAAAACAAATCCAAGTTGTGATAACGACAATATGACTGAAATAAAACAATTTCTTCGAAAATTGTGAATTTTATTTTGAAATTTGAAACATGCATTGAGTGATTTTTGAAAGTGATTTTGTGCAAAATTAATTTTCTTTTTGTCTGATTAATAAAATTTTTATGATCAAATTATCATTTAGAATAAAAATCTAGATTCTTTTATATGATAATTTTATGCTTTTTGCTTGTTTTAATTTTCTATTTGTTGTAAACAGTCCTGAGTAATGCAAAAAATTGATACGAAATGCTACAAACCTAAAATTAAATTTTTGTTAAGACTTTTTAATTAACATTATTTATTAATTATTAAAAAGAAATTTTGAAATTTTTTAAATAATTACTTTAGTAAAGCTTTCCAAAGAAACCACTGTAAAACTTTTTGCATTTATGATTGCTGGTTTTTGGGCTCTAGTCATAATCAAAAGAATACTTTTCTGATGTTGTACATTTCCCTCAAACCATTTTTGATTAAAAGCAGCTTCAGCAACTCCTGAACTCTAAAAGAATTTTAAAAATTACTAATTAATAAGAATTAAAAAAGTAGGTGTGTACAAAAATGTTTTCTTATATTTACAAACCGAATCTATAAGTTTTTGTCCCAAATAGCATATTGTCCACACTTGAACTAATTCAAATATTAAGAATAGCATATATTTAAAAAGTTCTAGAGCTGATACACCAGCTGTTGTTTGAAAACCAACTAAACATATGATTACAGATGATGCCAAGAAATTAAATAAAATTGCCATTGAAAATATTTCATTTACATCTTCTGATAATCTATAGAAAGTGAGAATATTAAAATAATTTATAATTTGTTTAATAAAGTATATAATATAAATTTTAATTTGCAAAATAAAAATATAAATTTAAAATTAATTAAAACATTGAAGAAAGTGGTGCGAAAATGTTTTTAATATGTTTAAATGAGTCTTTTTATAGGAATGGTGCCTGAATTACATAACATTGCACGTAATTTGATTTTTTTTTTGGCAAAAACTTACTTTAATACTTTTTGATGATGAATAACAATTTTCTTTATCATTCCTGTATCATTTGGATTACGTGAAGGTAAATAATTTGTTATTGTATTTGAAATATAATCAAATTGCATAACACATAAATTTATCATACTAATCATTAATATATCTGATGCTAAAGTACCCCAAGCAGCAATAAGACCAGCATGCATTTGCTGAATATAAACTAAACTATATTTCAAATCTTCATCAATATCAAAAGGATACCATAAGAAATAAGCATACCGACGTATAAGTGGCATATTTAAGAAATTATATTCAATAACTGTTTGAGCAACACCACTTAAATTAAAAATCCATATAACAGTTAACATTGAGAAAACATACATTTTTTCAAAATTAATTGTATTACTTGTATATTGTAAAGCTTTATATTCCTTAATTTGATGTTCATTTTTCGGAAACATTTCATTCATTACAGTTATAAAATTTGTTAAAGTATCACTTTGTAACAATAATGATCCAAGTTTATAATTTGTTATTATACAAAATCCAATACATGGTGCTAATGCTGTAGCTTCTAAAAACGTTGAAAATTGTCCCATTGCTTTATATAAATAAATTATTTCAAATATTATTGTTAAATTAATATTAAAAAAACTCAGCCAAAAAATTATTTGAAGAATAATTCTTTTAAGTAAAGAATAATTTGTTTCACCATATTTGTATGGCATCATTCCGAGTGCATTAAAATATTTGTCCGGCATTAAAAAAAATTGATTGAATTTCACCGATTTTAAATTAATTTGGAACATTTTGTATTCATATATGATGAATACTCTAAACTAAACCTAAGAACTGCTAAAAAGACTTGTTAAATATTTTTTAATTTAATTTCGAAATCAACAGAATTATTCAAAATTAATATTTTCAATTGAATTCGATATTCAAATGTATGATTATTGGTTATGAACATAAAATTATCTTGACATACTTGCATACATATATACATACTTTGTACATATAAATAAGTAATGCTCATTGAATTTTAAATTTAAAATATTTTGCGTACATTTTTGTACATATTTTTTACTTATTATAATATTTAAAAAGAAAAGAGGTAGTTATGTAGCTAAGTTGTGTTAAGGAGTACGGGAAGGACGTATGTATTATGTTTGTGTGTACGCACAGTATATTATATGTTTTTGAACTAGTACCTCAAATTATTGGGTTAAAAAATCAATTATTATAATAGCATAACGTAATATAATCTTAATTTATGAATGTCCTTGATCCGTTAGTAAGTATTATAACATATTCAATAACGAATGTTTCAATGGATCAAGTTCACTAAAATAATATTAGTAAAACCGAAAAGTACGGACTGCGTTTTGTAGTTTACAATAAATTAATAAAGTATTATAAAGAAATTTGTTTTATTTGTTTTCTTGTTTCACAAATTACGTTGTATCTATGAATTTAAATTTTTTAGATATATGTACATATACATATATAGATCAGGGTACCTTACCACCTACACTGTACTAATCGTATGATTTTTAATGTAATATTGCACAATTGCTACAACAGTGACATAATTCAAAAAATAAAATTTCTGCGTTATTTATACAGAGATTAGCGTTTAAAACCTTTTTGTGAGAAAACTTCATTTCTTTGACTTAAAAATTGTTGCGTACAATAAAATATAAAATAATGCAATAACGAGAAAAATATATTAACTCCAAATCTTTAAAATTCATTTCTCTCAAATTTGCGAATTTTGTATGTGTAAAATTATGTAGGTACTTTAATGTATAAATATATTTTAATACACATATTTTAAAACTTTAATTTAAGTGATTAAGAATAGTAAAGAGTTTGGTGCGGTTAAGCAAAATAATTATAATTTTTAATTTACAATAGAAAAAAAATAATTCAACACTCTGATACGCGGTAAGTAAACTAAAGATAATTTTATTCAAATCGAAATTCGCAAATTATTATGCGGTAATTTAAAGTAAATGTAAAGTATTTTTGCAAAGTAAGTTAAAAGCAAATTTGATATCAATTTTTTTTGGACAAGGATTCTATTAATAAAATTAATAAAAATAAAAATTGTAGGTATTCCATATTTTTATCTTACACAATATGTGGCATCTTTATGTTATGGGTTGTTTCATTATTTTTTACTCACGTTTCAAATGTTCTTCTAACAGTCAGCAAATCGCAGGCCCCTGTCGCATTCATAAATTGCTGGTATCTTGCATTCTTTATTATTTTGCTCGAATCATCCACAATTTTGAATTCTTATTTCTTTCAAGCGTCCTACATTGTGCATACATACACACATGCATGCATATAAATTGTATTTTTTCACTGAAAAATATAAATTCTTAACTTTTAAGACTTTTTAACATATAAATGTTGATTATTTATCGTTTTATAGCTTACACCACTTTTAAGAGTACCTTGATTTATGCTATCAGAATACATAGATTAAAACATTACTGTGCCCGAAATATCCTCTTAAAAATCTTAATATTAAAATTATTTTGTTTAAAATTTGATATGGCGTGCACCTGGGAAATTTGTCACCGATGGTCCTTATTTTTTGGTACATATATTTTTAGTTGAATTCAAACACATTCTAAAAAAAAATAGATTTTGTATTTAAAAAATTATTGGTTTCATGTCGACATCGACATAATGTTATACTCGTATTATGTAAGTATTTAAACTGCAACCATTTCATACGTTCATCTCAAGGAAATTTAATATAGTATCTGACGTTAGAGGGATTCCGTCAGCATGAGTTTTGTTTAGCCCACCACAACAAATTAAAAAAGCGCTGTGTACTTCAAAAAATGTCAGCTATCAAATAACGTGACATTTAACATAATCGAAATGACATTTTCGACTTTGACTTTGACATATGACAGTACACAGATCTAATGGATGTAATAAACGTTTAAGTTTTCACAAATTGTATATTATTATTTAAAAAAAAAACAGAAATTAAAATTTTACTTTGTTTTCTTCCTGTACTACAATGGCGGATGATCTTCAAAATTATAAATTACAATTACAACAGGTGAATAAAAATTCGAACGTTTTATTAATGTTTCTAATAAAAATAAATTGTTTTAGGTTGAGGCTGCACTTTTGACTGATCCAGAAAACTCTGAGTTATTAAAGTTAAAAAAGGATTTAGAAGAGGTAATTGAATTAACGCGGGATCTTATTCGCACACAATTGGAGGAACAAAAAAAATCTTCATATATTGAACCGGCTAATACCAGCACTGGTCGTTTGTATGATGAAATTGAAAAAGCATTAATTGCTGCTGAAAAACTTGTACCTACAAAACAATGGAAAATAGGTGATAAGTGTCAAGCTAAATGGAGCGAAGATGGTAATTATTATGATGCCACAATTGAAGGTATTACAACAGAAGGTGAAGTAAGTGTTGTTTTTGATGCTTATCAAAATCGTGGAACAACAATGTTAAAGGATATTAAGGAAAGAAATACAAGACAAGAAGTTTTCCCTTCCACAAAGTATGTTGCTCTCTAAGTGATTTATTTGTTTTAAAAAATATTATTTCAATATTTTCGTATTGCAAGGCATATACATTATGTGGATTTCAATACGCAAATATAAATTATTATACTTCTTAACTCAAATTAATTCTAATAAGTACTGTGAGCATAAAATAACAAATTTTAATAATAATTCAATCGTTTTAGGCGTCACAGACCAAATCAAAAAGAATATCTCAAGAAAAGGAAACAAAAAAAACTGCAACGTTTCAAAGAATTAGAGGAAGAACGAGAACAAGATAAGAACAAATGGATAAATTTTACACAAAAGCATAGTAAAAAATCTGGAGTTAAAGTTAAAAGTATATTTGCCTCACCTGATAATGTTAATGGTCGTGTTGGAATTGGTACATGCGGTGTCGCTGGAAAACCTATGACTGAATTTGTTGTGGGTGAAAAATATCGTAAAGGCATATAGATTATTATAAATTATTTTAAAATAAAAATATATTTGAAAAGTTTAATACTGCTTTAAATTTTGATATGATTTTATTATAAGAATTATGTACAATTAATAAGGATTGTTTAAAATTTGAAGAATTTTAACGTTAATTAATTCTTTTGTAATGTTTAAAAAGAATCCTCTCTTTATATGCAAAATACAAATGTGTTTAATTATTAAAGATAGTGACAATTTTCTGAATGAAAATTAAAATAAATTAATATTGAGCAGAAAAAAGAATATATTTGGTGGTATTTATGTATAAACCGTTTTTAAAAAATTAATTTCAGTTTGATAAATAAAAAAAATTACTATTTTTTAATAATAGGATAATGGCTTTGAATACAGTGTATTATTCAATATTATTTAATATGCATAAACAACTAAGATCCTGTTAATTCATGTGCTAAATTAGACTTTATAAAATTTTTGTTTCCAAGTATGTAGGAATGAACAATAAGCACAGTTAATATTTCTTAAAAATTATTAATAAATTTAAATTATTTAAGTAATAATACAAGTAATGTACCATTAAACAAAATATAGGAACATTGACTATTAAGCGTGTTACGAAAACAATAGATTTGTGAAAATTTGGCAATTCAAATATGTATGTAGTCATGTACATGTTAAGTATTTTGAAATCTAGGTAAGCATTCTAAGAAGCTAAGATTTTTTTTTAAACTTTTTCAGACGAATTATAGGTAGATTTGATTTGATTTTCATATTTTGAATCAGAAAATATTTTGTATTTATGCAGCAGAAAATAAATATCTGTTCTCTATGTCTATCTAAACAGTTGTAGAAAATTTATTTCACCTATATTATCCCAATTTAAAAATATGTTTGTTTTTTAATAAAACAATAATTTCGTTTTTTTTTTTATTTTTTTTATTTTCTTAACAAATTCAATAAATAAACTACCAATTATTAAATTTTTACTTCTCTTATAACTTCTATAAGAACACTTAACAAACAAATTCTTTTCATTAATGCAAAAATTTGTTTAACTTTTATTTATATTAATATTTTTTTTTAATTTTTATTGGTTTTTGTTTTCACTTTGTTTTTTCTTAACAAATTATTAATTTTTGGTTTTGAAACAACTAAGTTTCAAGTATGATTTTAAAATATTTAAACAAATCTAAAATTACATAATTAAGGAACTTTAATATTTATTTCTTGGAAAGAAAAAAAAATCTTTAACATAATTATCATTAAACTAACGTAAAATTACATAATTTAATAAATTGAATTGAAATTTTAAACAAATTTTAAAATAAAAATTTATTGCAAATGATTTTCTTTACATCTGGATCTCATTGCACCAATCCCGTTTAGTTTTACTTTTTCTTTTAATTTATAACCTTTTAAACTACTACTTTTATTAGTAAATTATCTCTTGGTGCTACAGAAATCTTAATTCATTAAGAAAAAGTAAAAAGTGGTTGGTGCAATAGGGCACTGAATTAATTAGTATTTGCTGTATTTTTTTAAATGGCAGCTTTTTAGTTTATATTTTAAGTAAGAAGACTCATTTTGAAAGATTTTTTTGTAAAATCCTAAACGATTTTCCAATTTCATAAAATCTAATTTCAACTGTTGACATTATCGTTGCCGAAAATATATATGTAGTTTTAAGAAACATAAACGATTCAATTACTTTTGAATATTAATTAAAATATTTTCATTTCCTTCCTATTTGTAAATGTTAATTAAAAAATTTTTATCAGGTTTTTTATTTTAATTTCTTATTTTTTTCCCAAATACATACAAAGTATTTCTAAAGCAAATGATCTTAATTCTTTCATAGTGCGAAGGGTAGAAAGTTTTTTTTTGGAACAAAGATGTAGCTTCTTTGGGCTTTTATGTATTGCATTACAAATTTTTATATTTTTCAAATTCTTAAAATTCTCGAGATAAGAAAAATTTAGCTGAGTAAAGGAAAAAGTGAATAGCTGCTTCTTTAAATGAAATATTAAAATGCATTATTTAGAGAAGATAAAAAATAAAATTTAGTAAATTTAGCATATTTCGAAAAATTCAAAATACACTATTGAGCGTAACGTCATAAATAAGCATATTAGCTTAGTTTTTGACTGAAATTACAAACTCACTAATTTATAGTTCACCAAAAAAATCGAAACAAAAAAATAAAAAATTGCAACCAATATAATTGTGGCATAAATGTTTTATAACGTAATAGTAAAAATCTGCAATTAAAATAAACATTTACTGAAAACTATTAGAATTTTTATGTTACATGTACATATTATATTTACATACTTAGTTATAATTTATCTTATACGAATATACTTTGTTTATTATGTACTGAATGTTCAATATTATTTCACTACTAATTGAACTATTCATTATTATTATTGAAATTTGATTAATAATTATTGACATTAGCTTTAAACTTTCCAAAGCTTTTCCAATCGCAAAAAAGTAAAGTATTTGAAGACAGACATTTTTTCCGTTTTTTCATATTATTGTGGACTAATATGTCTAACATTTCCGTCGGATATATTAAACGAAAACTATAATATGGGTATATATTATATATACATGAAAATTGCACAAATATTTTATATGTATTTAGACATAAAAAAACTTGACTACATAAGAAATATATATGATTTTTCATAATTATTGTATGTATATTGCCTGATCTTATACAAATGGACTCATGAACTGTTCAGGTGTAATGATTTTTTTAAAAAGAAAAAAATTAATGTTATTGTATTATCAATGAAAATTATATTATAAAATAAACTTCCTACAAGTACTCGTATTAACTATTTTAAATGAAAGTTAAAATATAAAAGTAGTCTATATAATTTAATTCGATTCATTTTAAACCAAAATTCATAATTTAAATTTTAAATAAGATAATTAAATCGTGTCGCAAAATGATTAATAAATATGAAGGTTATCAATGTATACAATTGGCGATATCTTATATTTAAATAAATATCTATTTAAATCACGGAAATATTTTTAATATTTTAATATGAAATTGTTTTGATAATAATTTATTGAAATTTTTCCAATTATTTCAAACTTTCAATTTGATTATCTAAAGTGAATAAATTCTTATAAATAATAAAATAATTTATTACTTTATTCTTATAAATAATAAAAATAATTTATTGTATAAAATTAATTTTGCATGCAAAAATTAAACGCAGTCCTGTTACTGTCTTGTAACTACTTGTTGCAAATATTTTTTTCAATAACGTATCAATTTTCTATTGATATTTCATAAAATATGATTCTTTTGTATTTGGTTTTTCCTCTGTGCCACTAATTGTTTAATTTAAAAAATTTTGGCAACATATTCATATGTTGTTTACATATTATTATACTAACAATAAATTTCTTATACAAACATAAAGTTGTTTTATTATCTACGTATAAGTGACGTGAAAATATCTATGAAATAATAATAAAAGCTCAAGAGAATATTACTTTTATATTTTTAACTTTGCCCTCACTTGCTTACAATTTAATATATTCATATATAATTCAAGTTTGTTTTATTTATACCGTTAAAAAGCTTTTGCCATATAAATTTGCAGAAAAAAAAACGAAGTAAACTTATGCAATCAAGCTAATTGCATAAGTTTAATTCACTTCCTAACTAAGAAAAACGTTTTTTAAAAAAAATGCAAACACACTGCACAATGCTGTTTTTCTAATTTTGATTTTGCATGTTATGATTTTGCATATTTCAAAATTTTATGAATGTACCTACTTTTTTTATCATAAATTGAAAACCATTTTCTTGCAATTTTAATTTCTTTTAATCTTTAATACATAAAATTTATGAAATTAAAACTAAATTTTATTTTAAATTTTAAATTGAATAAATTTGTACTTGGGCATAAAGTTGGTATGTTATTAGTGAAACAGAAATTTGCAAAGCGTAACACAAATATAAAACCATGATGAATGCGATTTATTTGTGTAAAAGTGTTTTATTATATTTTATAAGGTCATCGGCACCAATTTAATTAAGGTCAATAAAATGTTTAATTTTATACATAATTAAGTATATACATATATACATAAATATAATAGGTGAATGTGAAAAGTTTTAACAAAATATAAAACAAGAGACAAGTTCTTTTGATTGAAAATCAAAAATAAAAGAATTTCTTCCGAAATTTTTTATTAATTTTTTATAATTTTTCATAAAATTTAATAATGTTGAAATATTAGAAACGTAGTAGAGTAAAACAAAACTTTTATATTATTTTGCGTCTCATAAAACGAACTTTACAATCGAAAATAATTAAGTATTCATAATTCATTAATATTTAAACGTCAATAGAGCAAAAATAAAATAAAAACCGTAATGAAAACTTAAACTTCTTTCTTTTTTTTTTATTTTTTTTTTTCGCCTATAATATATATATATATATATATATACGACCAACAAACGCGCTTTTGCTTTATAATCGCTAATAATAAGTATCTCACAAATATGTTTTATATTGTTTATACTTATGTATATATCTATGTATATATACATACATATATTCTATAAATCTATACCAATGAAGAATGTATAAAAAATAAACCTATAAAGTTTTTTTTTTTTATTATTATTTTTTAACGAGGAGATGTCATTTGAAAGTCAATTTTTAAAGAGAGAACTCGCAGTAAAAAAGAAAACTTGTTCCTATGTCTCATATCTTAAATTTCAACCTTTTTAAAATTTAAGCATTCTTAAAACATAAAACAGTCAACCAAAGCAAAATTTTTTTAATTTCCTAGAAGTTTACATGCCACGAAATAGTTTTTTTTTCTATGCTCTTAATTTTTTATTGCTACTTATTTGTATATTAATCAATAATAAAAATTACTTAATTTTTACAATTGCATCAATTAAAACATTTACTAGATTTGATTTTTTAATTCATATATTTAATTATAAGAGAAAATGATAAAAAAATTAGAATTATCGTAACTTAGAATTCATTCATTTAAATCAATTTATATTAATTAATAATTTTAATATACAGAGGGTAATTCAGCAACATGTTTGAAACGATGTACGATCGGGAAGACAGTCGAAAATGAGTAAAATTTTCGTCATAATATTGATATACCTAAGTTTTTTTTGCTTACAACTTCCGTTCCAATAAGTAGTAGCACATTATTTGGTTTTTCATGGTCAAGTATTCGAACTTCAGGAAAATTCCAACCTTTCTCATTTTTTATTTTTTTACTTTTTTTCGAGTTGTTAATTTCTATTGTATTTTACAGAATTGTTACAGAATTTTCCCCCGCTCCTTAACCTTTAATTTCAGTTATCAAATGTTACAAAATCTTTAATGATTTTGGAGATATAGCAAAAAAAACATTTGAATTTCAAGATTTTAAAGGCCTTAATAGCAAATATGGCTATTTTTTTTGCTTTTCATTAATTTAAGGTGCTTTAATTCTCTATTATTGATTTTTGATCAAAATAGTCACTCTTTGCCATTTTTTGGAATCATCATTTTGAAAAAAAAAACTTAAAACTTAAATTTTAAAAATTTTATTGAAATGCAATACTTTTTAGTGAAAAATTCTTATTCTTTTATTTCTTTCGAAATTTTTCCAATAAATAAATCTTTCCAGCTTTAAACATTTGCGTCTACCCAATGTTCTAACTTGTTACTGAACCACCCTGTATAGCTTTACTGAAAATGTGAACATAGCTAGATAGTAATTTTTATTAACTAGTAAAAATTATGAGAAATTTGATTTTCCGCTTCGCATTTTAAACAATTTCATTTAAAACAAATACTTAAAAAAAAACAAATTTATTCATTCAAGTATTATGAAGCATTAATTTTGTTAATTATAATTGTGAATTCATTTCAAGTATTTACGAATTAAAAATGCAATAATTTTTTATCTCTTGAACGTTAAAATTGCCGATTAATCATAATGCAACAGGTATAACGAAGATACCTTAGACATACACAACATACATATGTATTATTTATCTCATTATAAATGCCTTTTAAATCAAATTATATTAAATTGAATTTTCGTCTAGAGTTTCATTTATAAAAATTTTAATATCTAAGCTACTTAATCTTAAAAAAAGCATTTATAACACGGACAAATTAATATTAAAAATGAATTAGCGTAATTACATAAAACAAAAAGTAATTAATTTTACGTCTTTACATTTTTTAATTAAAAAATAATTAAGTAAATAAATTCTTATAATTTGTAAATTGATTTCAATTGATCAAATGATTTATATTTAATTATTTCTTTGAAAAAAGAATCTTATTAATATTTATTTCTTTGAAAAAAGATTGTAAAATTGTTAAATACTTACTTACGAAGTATATTAAATAAAATTAACGTTATTTCTTTAAAAAGCATAAATTTAAAAAATCATTTTAGTAAATCTACTATAATTTTTTTTAAAATCAAACTAAAAATTTAATAACCTTATGTTTAATAATAAAAAGTATAAAAGTTAAATTTTATAACGAAGCAAAATCAAAACAAAATGTTTAAAACTACAACGTCAGTATGAAGTGTGTATGTAAGCCAGTAGTTCAAGTTCATGAAGCTTTATCTATTTATTGCTAAAAAAATATAAAATACTATTTTTTATAAAAAAAATCTTGTAGTACTTTAAAAGAGAAATAGTTAAGAGTAAAAGTTTACTAAAATTTTCGTCATAACAATACGTGATTAGTTAATAGTGTTCGAATTATTTTATAATTTGTTTATAACAAATATTTTTTTTCAATTCGTTGATCTCAAAACATTCAAACCATCTTGTACTTAGTTCACAATCAGAGCTTAAAAGATTTTATTGCAAAACTTAATGTGCAACAAAATTAAAAAATATTTTGTTTTGCTTTTTTTATGAAATCAGAATACTATTGAAATATTTAATATTTTAGTTTCATAATTTATTTATAAAAGATTTGAATAAAGATAACAAAAATTAATATGAAACCGAAGCATATAATTACGTTCAGCATTTAATTTATTTATTTACTTTGCATTTTTGCTTTGTTCACTTTTTTTTTTTTGAAGCCAATCAAATAATGTCTGGAGTTTAATTGAAAAATTCTTTAATTTCTTTAATTGATACAAAAATTTTTGAGTTTAAAAATTTTTTACACATAAATTATTGGGGTTATTTGTCTATAAATCGTTTCCAAAAACTTATAAATTAAGTATTTTAACCCTGCTTTTGTTATAAATATATCTAAGTATGTACATATAAGCAATAAGATTTAAAATTATATAGCCTTCATATATTCAAAACATTATGTATTTTATTTTATCGAAAATTAAAGTGTCATCATTTTCATACCAAATAAATTTTGTTATCTATTCATTGATGCATTGATTAGTCCTGTTACTATATTAATTTAAATAATTTAATGTTAATATTTGAAGATTTACAAAAAAATAATGATTTTATTAAAAAGTTTGAGCTATTATAAACATAATAAAGGTGATTTTGCAAAAATTTTAAGTGTTCGAGTAAAATTTTTAACCAACAATGAAAACATAAATGGTTTCTATTAATATTTTATTAATTAAAGAAAACTGGTCAATATTTATAATAAAAAGGACATGATAAAATCTGATTGATAAAAATTTAAAACTGCTATGATAATAAAAGTTGCATCGAACATTCATTTAGAGTTAAAGTCGTGATTAAATAACTAAAAATTAGACTGAATATTTAATTTACCAAAATTGCTGTAATGTGCCTAAATTGGTCTGCGTAATTAAATTTAATGCAATAATTTGTAGTTAAACTTTACTTTTAAAAAGTCATTCTAACATTGGAATTGAATCTATTTTGCAAATTGAACTAATTTACATCGGATGCTTATTAAAAATTACTCTTTTAAAAAAATTTATTAGTCTGCTGTGAATAAAACAAAAACTATTAATTTGGACTTGAAGTTTTCTGAGATAATATTGAGCTTTTGTTTCAAAACTATTTGAATGAGACTGTTTGAATTTTCAATTATTTAAATTACATGTCTTTTGTAATAGAACAACATTTCTTGTTTTTCTACGATCTTACAATAAATTAAATTATATTTCAACTAATATTCCCCATTTTTATAAATATCTAACTTAAATTTAAAATAAAATTTCATTTCAATATTTATTTCTTATTTAAATCTATATAATAAATTATTAATTTTCATTTTTGTTTAAAAATAAAATTGTTTTATTTTCTTTTCTTTTTCATTTGTCTCAATTTAATAAAATTAAGACTAAATAAGTATATTTTTATTTTTTTTATTTCAATTTTTCAAAAATTAAATAATTTTTTAAAAGTACTAAACAAAATATTAGAACTTTTCATTTTCTATTATAAATACACAAAAAAAAAAACACAAAAAAATCAAAATTTAAAATAATATAAACTAGCTATATTTCCTAAATTAATTTTAATGAAAAAAATTTTTATTTTTAAGTACACAGTAAAATCTAATTTGAAAATTAATTTAAAATATTAAACCAATTTTTTTTTAATAAAAAGAAATATTTTTTTAATACTTATAATAAAATTAAGATGATTATAAGTAGTTGCCACTTTAAAAATAATTAAAATAAATTTACAAAATGTATAAGCTGCTCAAGAGTTATTTCGTGTGTTAAATTTAAACAAAATGCACACGAAAATTAAAAATTTTTATCATGAATATTGTATTTGCATTTTGGAAAACCTATACCAAATTACATATATTTAATTTAAAGTACTTAGTCGATTCAATAAAGTTATGATAATGACAAAATACTCACATTTGAATTATTTTAAATATGATTCGAAAACTAAGTTGTAATTGTCATAAATAAAAGATACATAATTTTTTTTAGAAATTTTTCAACTGTAGGAAAACGAGTAATAACAAAGACAATAAAATAGCTCCTTGTTTTTTTTAAATAAAACCAATTTATAAAATAATTTAAAAAAATTTTCAATTAAAATTTGGCATAAGATAAATAAAGAAATATGTATGTAAATATAATTTTTTAAATAAACCTTGAATTTGGATAGCACTCTGTGAATTATTTCACTACAATTTGAGAATGAAAGGAAAAATGTTTCAACAATTAATTATTGCTTAACAATTTAAAACAGCTTAATAAATTATTGTAAAGAAGTAAACTGATTTTTTTGTCATCGTTTGCAGGATTTAATTGTTTTCTTTAAAAATTTTATTTCGAATTTGAAGAATTTATGAAATATGCATTAATATATTTCAAAAGTTTTAAAATTATCTTATGCTGATAAACAAAAAAAATGAAATTGTACTATTTTTAATTATCTATCAATTTACCTAATTTTATAAGTCTTTGCATTATGAAAGACACCACAAAAATAATAATTTTTTTTTTCTTATTTTAGAAAAAAAAAGGCATTGACACGACCGGCATGTCACACGGCAGCTAAGTTTTTAATACAAATCTTCTTCCATATTATCAACCAAAGTTTTTTTATCGTCATTTTTTGAATAATTATCAAATGATTGTTGTAAAACTTTTGGATCAAAACATGGTGTATCACATATATTCATATTACAACAATCTTCAATAGTTATTTCACATTTTTCTACAGCTGATAAAGGTCTACTTGTTAATGGTGTATTTCCATTAGTACAATTTAAATTTTTACAATTATTACTACTATTATCGACACGTTTTTGTACAACAAACGTTTTACGAATTTTTGGTCTTGGCGGCTTAAAGGTTTTACGTATTGCAAATATAATTAATAAAACTATTGTAAGTGCTAATAATATACTTAAGCATATTATTGCTATAATATATGTATTATAACTACATAAATGTGTTAATTTACTAATGTCATGATCTTCCATTTGATGTTTCTGTTGATTCTGTATAAAATCATGTTTATTTATACGTTTTAAATTTTTATAAATTTCATTTAAGTGTGTTTCAGTATTATTTAATTCATTCATTGTATAACAAATATCATGACATTTAAAGGGTATTTCATAGTTTGGATTATATTTTAATAATGAGCAAAATAATGTACATGTTTCGGTTAAATTTTGTTCGCACCTTTCACCAGTAAATTGTTCATTGCATTCGCATGATGGTTTATTTTCATTAATTTCACAAAAACCATCATTTAAGCAATAGTCAGAACATTTGTATGCCTCACATCGTATACCATAAAAACCTTCATTGCATACACATTCAGGAAAACCCATCGAGGATATTTCACATGTACCATGTACACAATAATTTGTACAATCATCAATTTCACATCGTAATCCAGAAAATCCAACTTTACATATACAAGCATCACTTAAAGGATTATATTCACCTTTATTTAAGCAATATACATGAGGTTTAGCTAGATTTATTGATTTTATTGCTGTTGTACTATTCAATAAAGTAGGTGATGACATGTTTATATGTTCTTTCAATCTATTCTTAATAGTTAATATAATTTCTTTGCATTCTGGTACATTGGTTAATTTCGTTAAAAATCCAGACCTTGATATTATTCCTCTGGGTCTGTCCTTAAAAGAGTAACTCTGTAAAAACAAAAAATATAAATTGTTTTTTTGATATCAAAGTTCGTATTTTTTTTTATAATTATTTATACTAGTAAATGCATAATTCATTTTGAAATAGAACAAAATATAGAAGCTAAACGTACATGATATTTGCGATTTAAAAGTTTAAAAACACTTTCCTTTAATTTTTTTGAAAAATAATTTTATAATACAGCCATTTTCATAAAAACGTAAACAATTTTACTATAAATGTAAAATATTTAAATAGGTTTGAAGATTGTTAGTTAACTTGTCAAAGCAAATGATTTTATTCTTACCTCAATCACTTTTCAAATAACATTCATTCATTATTTAATTAAAGATGATAAGCAAAAATAAAATAAAATAAATAAATAATACGTAATTACTTAATTATGTAACTACAGAAGAAATACTTATTTAATTTGTACTAAAGAGCAAGTAAACATTTTTTAGAATCGAATTTGGCGCTTGCAATTGAAATATTTATAATAAATTTTTAGTTTCTGAATAAATATATATACATAGATATAAATAAAGATTAATAAAAAAATTTTACTCAATAATTTCAAGTATTCCAAAAACTCCAAAATAAATTGTGCCTTGTTTTAATTTTAAAACATATTTTTTAAATTTAAATAAAAGAATAATCGTTAAAAATCAAACAAATGAAAATAAATATTTTTTATTCAATTATTCCGGAGTATTGAATTTAAATTTTTTAATATAAAAGATACTTACTTACTTATATCTTATTACATAACAATCAATTGAAAATATTTTTGTTCTTATTATTATTTTTTAAAGTTATTAAATAATTAATTGTCATATGGCATAATGTTACTTAGTTCTATAGAATGCAAGGCACTGACATATTTCTCTACCGTCTATAAATGGAGCGATGCCGATGACAGCTATTTTCACCTTAAATAAATTTTTATAAGCACTTAATGCAATATTTAATATAAGCACTCATTTTTAATTTTTATTTCTAAATACTTCAAAGATTATTTTTCCATGTGGCGCTTGTGATAACATTGCTGCAAATTATATGAACTTTATCATAATTGATAATTTTGATTTGATTTAAAATGTTGTGTGGAAAAGTTGTGTGGAAATTTTTGGTTCGCACAGTAATTAAGTAAATATATATATAAGTATATATAAAATAAAAGAGTGACTAACATAAATAAGTATAGTGAATTATTTATTTAGTATTTAACAACCAAATGTGTTACTGTTGAGGCATGCTATTATTACACTGTAGTCAGTTGCGTAGCAAGTGTGAGTTTTCTAAAAATTATATAACATGCAATAAATATTTAAATGGACCGACCGGTATAAGTTATAAAAGAAGATCTTAAATATTGCGGTTACTGTTACTTAGAATATAAGTTAAAGCACTGGCATATTTATATATGGAAATTTGAATTCATATTTCAATTAAGTTTCCATTTTAACTAATTATATACTACCATTTTATCTATTTATTAATTTCGTATATTTTAGTTTTATGTAAGCTCATAATATGTTGTATATTTAATTAACACATTTTTGATTTGAACAAAGAAAAAATTAACACCCAACCACATAATAACACATTAAAACAAAAATAATTTTTTTTAGTTTATTATTAAAAATGCATTAACTTTGGAACGAAAAACTTGTTTTCCATCCGAGTATAAAAAGGTAATGCAAATAGAAAATTTTTGAAAATCACTTAAGTTATTGAAAATTTTCAACTTTCGCAATAGCTAATCGCTTTTCAATTTCACTTAAAAGTATAAACAATTAATTAAAATAAATTAAATAAGTTTATTATTAACTATGAAACAAGTATTGTTCGTTTTGTTTTTAATATTTTTCTATTCAAATAATTGCAAGGCCGTAAAAAACGATTTTCATGGTAATTGCACTCAATTGAATGAAATATTTCAAGATTTCCGAAATGTAACACCTTTTCGTACAATACTAGTTTTTTCATCATTCAATTATAAAATTCCTTGTTTAATTCCGAATATTCCGACAACAGCTAAAATTTTAATAACAAAATTTAATATTAATTATAAAATTCGTTTATTTTTTAATAAAAATCATATTGGAATTATATTTTTAAATCATAAATATGATAGCATATTAATTGCTGTTAACGAAATATTACAAATGGTACATGAAACAAAATTATTTATTATATTTTATTATAAAATAAATTCGTATGAAGATGACATTTTATGGATATTTAATTGGGCATGGAATAATTATTTTCTAAATATTGTTGTCGTATTTTGGTATAACAACAATTCAAATTCCATGAATATTTTAAGTTATAATCCTTTTCCAAAATTAAAGATTGAAAATTTAACAGAATATAAAGGAAATAATATAAAATTAAATGAATATTTTGAAATAAAATTAAAAAATTTGAATGGCTATAAAATTAAAACTGTTTTTCGTAACGATCCTCCATTTATAATGTATAAAAAAAATAGTAATGTTAACAGTAAGGTGCTTGTTGGTGGATTAAGTTACAGAATTTTCAAAGGTAAGCAAATAAAGAATCAAATAAAATAAAATGGCAAAAAAATATTTGTACGGGCTCGACTTCCAGTTAAATATTAATTAATTGATGTCGGACACAAGATCACGTAAATACAGAAAAAATTTAATTTGCAGATTTGTCTTTAAAGAAAAATAAAAATTAATTTACTTAAGTACTTACTTTTTATTTTGCTTTCTTATCAGAAACATTAGTAAATACATAAAAAAACATTCATGAAAAAAGAAAAGTGGGTATTTCGCGCTTAATATTTTTATTTACCTTTAAAAAATATTTACCCCTGCTGTATTTGAAAAAATGAAAATATTATGTCATTAATATTCTATTTTTAATACGCAGTACATCACATATTAATAACATGAAACTAAAATTTAATATTAAATATTTATCTTTTTCCAACTATAGTGTAGTAAATGATAAACAAATTTTCTGATAAGAAAAACGTGAAGAGATAAATGTAAGTATCGGTTCTGCATAAAGTACAAAGTTTTCGAAGTATATACATAGAATCTTGATAAGTTGTTATTAATTATTCAGTTCTCATGAATTCTTTTTCTTGGATTGATTATTTTTAATTGAAAATTTATAAACACTAATGTTATACTAAAGCTTGATTGGTATAGAATTTTGCTTAATAAATTTGTTAAGAAACTTAAATAAGATGGTAGGTAAGTACATACTTATTTACTTTTTGTAAATTTTTAAGCCAAATTTCTAAAAAAGTAAACGTTAAAAATTGTTATACATATGTATGTATAACAATTGGTCAAATTTCGTGAAATAACTGGTAAAGCATAACAAAATATAAATTTGAAAATTGTATTATAAATTATTTTGAATATAGTCTTTAATTAGTTAGTATATTTTTTAGATAGTTGACCTCGAAATATTTTAAAAGTATTTTCGAAAAAACTTGCTCAAAGAGTTGCATAAAAAGCGAAAAGATTACATTTCGTTTGGTAAAAGTTCAAAAAACATGTTGTAAAGTACAAAAATAGATAATTTGAGGAATATTTTTAGAAATTTTCATAGAAAATATTTGCCAAAAAAACATTTGCTTTTGTTTTAGTACCTACCTACAAATCTATCATAGCTTATTTTATTTGACAACAAAAAATGCAGAGCTAAAATAATTGTTTTTGAATAACAAGTGATTTTTTAAAATGTTTGATGATTTATCATTAACATTATGATGTTCTTCTCACATAATAGTTATTTAAATAAGCAAGCACAATAGTTCAAAAATTGATTCATATGCTTGCGAAATATATTCTAATTAAAGTTAAGAAGTGCAACTAAATTTGTATAATTAAAGAAATTCAATTCGTTAAATTATGGTGTTTTCTTTTTATATTTTCAGAATTCTGTAAATATCATAATGCAAATTTGATTGGAGTAAAAAATCTCAGCTACAGATATGATGAACCATTTGATTATATTAAAACTCGTACTGTAGACCTCTTTTTTGAACTTTCATCAAAATCTTCGACAGAAGTTTCATATACATTATCTACATCTGTAACACATATTGATGTTTTGGTGCCATTTGCAAAAGAATTTGGAAAATATTATTATTTTCTTTGGCCATTTAATATAATTAAAGTAAAATATTTATTACCTGGATTATTTTATGCAACAATTATTGATCTAATTATCACTTATTTTCAATATAAAAAAATTGATATAAGTAAATCATTTATAAAAACAATAAGTGATTTTATTTTAATTCCATTTTGGCAACGAACAAAAAAATTAACTTTTTGTGGAACACTAGTATTTATACAATTGTATATTTTGGCTTGGATATTAACAAATATTTATGTAGCGTTATTTACAAGTTCTTTAGTAACACCATTATATGAGCGTCAGATTGAAACAGTTGACGACATGATTGAAGCTGACTTAAAAATTTTAACAAGTTCAACTAAGTTATGGTCAAGAGATCCAACAGTAACGGAACAATTTAAACAACTTTTACTAACAGTTGATAATAAAGTTCTTTTAAAAAATATGGAAAAATTTAACGCAAGATATGGTTATACAATAATATCAGAAAAAACGAATTTTTTTCTAGCCCAACAAAGTCGATTATCACGGCCATTACTTAGAAAAGCTATTGAAATTTTTCCAACTCTAACAGCATTTCCATTGCATTTGGATAGTCCGTTTATTCAACCGTTAGACGCGTTTCTAATGAATTTGTTTCAGTCTGGAATCATAGCGAAATGGGAAAGCTTTGATATTACAGCTGAAGCTATTAAAATGAATGCATTTACTTATTTTAAAGAACCTGATCATGATATGGGAGATTTAAAATTGAATCATTTTTATTTTCCAATTTGCTTTCTAATTTCAGGAAATTTATTAGCCACAATAGTTTTCATATTTGAAATTTACATAGGACAAATAAGGAAACGTAAAAGTAGTAGGAGTGTTGAAGTTAAAATAAATGAAAAAACCTTAATTAATTGTAAAAATCTCAATAAAAAATCGTTTTATGAATCGAACAATTCATAGTAGTTGGTACACCACATCAAGAGGGCTTAATATAGCTGCAACATACCTACGCACCTTCAAATTTCATCACGTAACTCATTTAAGTTTTTTATTTATTATTTAATATATGTATTTATTGATGGAAATTGTTTGCCACAATTTTGGCTTTGACTAAGACATTGTTTTGAATATAGTTGCATATACATATGTGAGAAAAATGAATCCTATATACTTAGGGTAAATAAATAAAATTAAAAATAATTTCATTTTTTCATTTAGCTTTCATTTCTCATGCTTTACTTTTTTATTACACTTGAATGCCCTGATAAAATTGAACTTTGCATTGAAGGAAATAAGGAAACTTTGTATAACAGAAAAATAATTTCTCCAAGTAGTAGAATAGACAGATTTATTGTTTTACCAATAATTTGTCTTTCGCCAAGCATAAATCTGAGTTCAATAATAAAATAAATATCAGAACAAGGACGGTGAATTAAACTGCTATCATAAACGTATTTTTATCAAAATGAATACTTATAGTGAAAGTTTAAGTTCATTTAAATGTTTAGTTCACGAAATTTTAGGCAAATTAAAATGAACAAGTACTTTAACTTACCTTTCCTGGTTCAGTATCGTTTCCAGCAGTTTTTGATATGTTCCACACTGCTTCATTAATTAAGTCTGTCCAAAAAATATGACTTTTTGTAACAGTTAAGTCATATGGTTCACTATGTAATCCTTCATAAACTGTTTTACGGTCAGTACCATCCAAATTCGAACTTTCTACAGCATAGTGTATACCCGGTAAATTAACAACCCAAAAAATTCGTTTTGAATATTGGTCGGTCACGATACCACGAGGTTGAAATAAATTTTTATTTATCAAAATTTCACTGTTTCGATAGTTGCTGTTTAATGCAATTCTCTGTATGGACGGATTTCTTATGTTGCTGTTAGACCAATATAACATACGGTTACATATATCTATTGTAATGCCTTCTGGTATGGAGTCATTACTTAAGTTTAAATATATTTCTGGTCCAATAGACCGATTTTCAGCTAAGGAACTTGTATATAATCGATAAATTTTTTTATTACTTTTATCAGTCCAATATAAATATCTATCATAAGGATCGTATGTTATACCACCAATTGTTTCATTTTTAATTCTTGCTACAATTTTTTCTATTATTTCAATTTTAGTTTCACCATTTATGATTCCACTTAATTGGGCGCTATTGCTACTTATACCGTTAATATTATTAGGTAATTTTAGCGAAAATATGCTTCCATTATTATGATTTTGATCACTAAAGTATAATTTTTCCTCAATTTCATCAAATGCTAGTCCCGATAATTTAGTAAACTGATGGGCAGCTGAAGATACTTCATTCCAATCCTTATCAAAGAAAATTATTTTATTTTCAGCTGTAGCTGCAAAATCCCATAATGACATAACACTACTTTTATCAATGCAAAATATTAAAATTATGAACAACTTAAGACTTTTATAACACATTTTATCTATAATTTTATGTAAATTAATTTTGAACTATGTACCGGCTAGATAAAAACTTCACACTTTCATAAATTTTTAACGTAAATTAGTTTATGCCATAAAAGGGCTACGTGACTTTTTGCGATCTTAATTTTTTTTCTTTTTTTTTTTCTCTTTTTTTTTACCAGTGCGATATTCCGACAACACAAATATTCATCCAACGTTCTGGACACGCGATGACAGACTCAGAGTTTAATCTGCTTACAATGTGATTTTTATTTGACAAATGACAATTTACATACGTATATACTAATTAAAAAATAATACGTTTGCACGATTGCCAGCTTTCTTTACTTGTTATAGATTTACTGCATTCTGAAAGATTACATTGAATTTTAAATCTTCTTCAAAAAATTTTTAAAGTTAATATAAATGAATATGAAAAATTAATATAATTTAAAGCTACTGAATTCGCATATGACAAAATAACAACAGAAATGAAACAAACAAGAAATCTGCCGCAAAGCAAAATATAATTCTCCAACAGTCACCTATATCACTTTTATTGTAAAAACGCATTATAATTGACATAATAAGTTGAGCTGAATAAGTTGTTAATAATAAGTTGACATAAAAAATGTAAATAAAATAGGTTGGTAAATTATAACGAATAAATATCACAGCAACGGGGTTTTTAAGATTGACATTTGCAGGGATACCTTTTTTCTTGCTTACCAAAATGCAAATGAAAAGCAGATTCGGAGCTTAGGAAATAATTTTATTTACCGAAAAATGCTAAGTAGAATACAAACTTGTTAAAAATCTTGCATTTAGATAGATGCCTATATTCATCAGCAATGTTTTTGTTTCAGTAGGTTTGTAGCTACTAGCTAGAGTGATACAAGTTCGTTTTGTTGAACAAAAAAGAAATTTTATGACTTTAAACTAGCTTAATTTTAAATTTGAATTACTCACTCCATTAATTTTTGTTTAGCACAAACTGTATACAAAAAAAAACACAAATTAGTGCTCAACATAATCGCTACTTGTGCTGACACAAACTATTCCAATTGTCAATTACCGACACTTTTCATTCCAGTAATAAAATTTTTGACAAAAATCAACAAGAAAATGAAAATAATAAATTGGTGATGCGATTAATTAATTAATAACAAACGAATTTTAGGATACAATAAATAAATCCAAAATTAAATATGTCTAGGATACAAGAAAAAGTAATAGGTAAAATTAATGCTGAAATTGGTGATGATATTAAAAACCTACATAAAGCCAAATATTTAATTGAGAGCTACCACACACTTTTTAAAGACATTGAAGGAAAAGTAATTTGTTCATTCAAAAATTTTTTCAATTCATAATATATTAATTTTCTAGTTAAACCTTGATAATGAATCTTACACTTCTGTTACTAAATCAGCTTGGAAGCAAACTCAGCATACTATAGAAGCAATAGATTTCGAACTGGCGAAAATTGATCAATTCGATAAGAAATTATCTACTAAAATAAATGATTGCAATGTAGTGATAAAAGAAGTAAAGCCATATTTAGAAAATATAAAGAATTTACAACAGTTTATTGAGTATTTGCGAATAATACAAGACATACAAGAAATAAAGTAAGTTTAAATTGAACTTGTGACGTAGTTTTGTAACAAATGGTACATTTCAGTAACGCACTCGGTGTAGCTATTAACGGTAGAGATGAAACAAAAATGGTGGCCTTATTTCTGTCCCTTGGTGGTGAGCACAGTTCAGCTAATAGTATTGTGGGTCGGCTAGAAAATATTGAAGCGCGGTTTTTAAAAGCATATGCTATTAAATCTAGCGTTTATTGGTATAACATTTTGAAAGAAAAGTTTTCAAATGATTTTGAAACTACTTTAAAAGCAATCAAATGGCCGCCTCAACAGCAAGTTATTGAAACATTTTCACCGTCCAAGGAAAATATGGAAAAACTTACTTTGTTAGCTGAATATTTATTTCTTGTGAGTTATAAGTTAAATTAAATTTAAACTAATGTTATATATAAAGTAATATATTTTTGTTTTTGGGCTTAGATGAAATCTCCAGAAGAAGATGGTTCAACGAATTTTGTAACGATTATTCCATCGATTGTTTGTCCTCCAATAAGTATTCCAACAGAATTGTTGCTTCGACCATTTAGGCAAAGGTAAGCAATTTTAGATATATTTTTCAAAAATTGTTTCTAATTTTTTAAAACAAACTAAGGTTTTTTTATCATTTTACTGGTACAAGACAAACAAATCGCCTTGACAAACCTGAATGGTATTTCACACAAGTATTAAATTGGGCTAAAGAAAATCATTTATTTGTCGGCAAACATTTTCAGTCAGCTGCAATTAAAGCTGGTCATGAAAATTACAATGTGCGAGTAAGAGTTTACAAAATTTAAATTTACCTTTTTAAAAATAGTTTACGATTAAATTTTAGTTAGAGTTTATTAGAGGTTTAGTACAATTGACTATTGAAAAACTGGGATACGATATAGCAGATATTTGTCAAGATGAAACATTATTTGCACATTTATTGGATGAAACACTAGCTTTTGAAATAGAGTTAAGAGAGACATTGGGGTATTTTTTAAATTTTTGCACCTTTTTTTTTATAGTTCATGCAAATTTTATGTGTTTTCTAGATATCCTACTAGTTTTCCAAGTGCTTTAAATGTAATTACTCAACCGCAATATTTAATTAAATGGATTTCGATTGAGGAAAGATGTATGTTTAGGAATGTAAATATTTTAAAAAATGTATTAAAAACGTTTTTCATTTTAGTTTGTACAGATAAAATGGATTGCGTATTACAAGGAGATTCACCGTGGATGCTAATAGATTCTAGTAATATGGAAGAATTGAAAATTCCTAAATGTGCTGATCAATTTATTAGATTACTAGATTCTATTAAAGACCGATATAGTGCTCTCACACAGCCGGGTCACCAATTACAGTTTTTAAATTTACAACTAGAACTCATTGATAACTTTCGTCTTCGTTTAGTTCAATTATATGGTAGTGGTGCTGTTGGTACAACAAGTATTCTAAACGCAATTAACTATATTAACGCAGTGTTGAAAGAGTGGGGCGAAAACGTCGTATGATACAACTATCTTTCAAATGTTTATGTATTAATTTTTTAATTGTTTTAGCATTATTTACATTTACATGCAGCATTGGTTGGACCAAATGTTAATGAAATCAATTCGGTTTTCGAACAAGCTTCAGAAGAGCTTGAGCATTGGCAAGAAAATTTACTTAGAGATTTATCAGAAAAAATTGTTGGAGAAATAAAAGCAAAATCTATGCATTATAGACATGATAATTGGTCATTGCTTCCCGAACAAAATACTAAAGAACCTTTTATGTTATCTTCCAGTGCTAGTGATATGTTCCATGTAAAATATTATTTTCGTATTATCAAAATAGTTTTTAATATTTTTTTTTTAATATTTTAGGTAATGATGATAAATTTACATAATTTAGAGAAAGATTTATCATTGAATTTATTTAATTCGGCTATACGCTTAATCTCCCAACAACTGGACGAGTTCTTTTTAGACAGCATGGTAATGAATACAAAATTTTCAGTTGGCGGGGCTGCTCAATTTCAGTTTGATATGACACGAAATCTTTTCGCATTGTTTGGTCAATATTCAAGAAGATCCGATTTGCTCTTTAAAAGGTTAATATTCTCTCATAATAACGATGTAAATATTATTTTTTTTTAAGTATTATTATAATTTTTTCTAATTACAGAGTACATGATGTATGTTTATTATTGACGACATCAGTTGGTAGTACTTTATTATTGTACCAAACATTAAAACAAGATGTAACTCCTGAACACAAGCAGAAAGCTTTAAAAGAATTTGGTATTTTATTCCTTAAACCAGATGTGTGCATTGATATATTAGAGCGACGGAAAGATATTAGAATATGTTAAATATTTGCTTAAATATATTGTTAATTTGTTAAATTTATGAAAAAGGGAGAATATTTTAATTATTATACAAATATGAAGTCAAAATAGGAGCTACGAAGATGTAATTTTGATTTATTTTAAAGCTGAATCCTCGAGAACGTAAAATTAGATATATAGGTAGATAACTAAAAATTACTAGAAATAATGTGGTGCATAGAAAATAAAACAATTGACAGTGTTTAAAAAATTTTTACCTTATCTAGGAAATGTAATAAAATTGTAAATAACTTATTCTAATGAAAGAGTGAATGCTGTTTTAATTATTAGACGAATTTCATAAAGGGCTAAAAAAAACGAATGTTAGAAAATCGTTAAAGCGGTAGAAAGGACTTTTAGTAAAATAAGCAATTGCATAGATTTATGGCTTCATACAATTATTCATATGCACAACTGGGCGTTAGATATCCCACAGGTATAGGATTTTTGTATGTTACACAAGTCTTTTTAGTTTCTCTATCTTTCCCCCTACGGGAGGCAGATTTCAAAAATTTTTTATGTGTACCACATAATTATGTACATATATAATTGTATACCATCTTCGAATTCTCGAAAACTCACGAAAACTTAAAATTGGGTATTTACAACTTTCTCTTCATAGATATGAATTATGCATTGTTCACCGCTTTGTTTTAATGAAAAAAGTGACGATAAGCGACTATTTCTTAGCAGAAGTGTGCAATAAATAAACGTTGTAATGTATTAAAAGTTCTATAATTTGTGAAACATATCCTAAACAAGGAAACTTTGTGATGAATGTGATAGAGTAAAGGTTACTTAATTTAAAAGCGTTATAATTTTCGAAATACACAAGAATGTAGATAGCTTGTGGAAAAATAAAGCAGATTGCTAAATGAATTAAAGCTGTTAAATAAAACGTGGCTTGAACTACTAAGCAAATATGTACCTACATGTAATAAAATAGAATCAAAAGTCTTGTTTAATAAGCTTGGAGGACAAATTAAAAAAAAAATTACAACCTATGAAATTTTGTCTTAAAAAAAAATTGTTTTTGAAGTTACAACAGATGAAAAATAATTTTTATACCACTATATTAAGCTCCAAGTGTTATTTTAAGCTCTTTTAAAATTTTTTTCCCTAAGACTTTGTTTAGTGATATCAATAACAAAATCTATTAATTTTTTGTTTAGTTTCAAAGGGTTCTTTTATTTAAGTGTAGTAATTTTATAGCTTTTTATGAATACACGTTAACTGAGATTTTACATCTTATTCCCTGTTAAAAGTATTGACACCACTATCTTTTATTTTTTGTAAACACTACTATAGCAAATACTTCTTCAAAAATTAATTTCCGGAAATTATTTTTCGAAACTTAATAGTAAAACTTTTGCTAAAATATTAAATGAAAAATGCATATGTATTATATTACATATATAAATAGAAATCAAAATTTATTTTTCTTACAAATTTTATTTTTTTAAACAAAATCATACGTTGAACAGTAAAAAAAGTTTCTAATATAAATAATAAACATGATATATATTTTAAATACATATTTTACACTTTCTTACAACGTTTTAAAAACATTTATTATATAACTTTTATACGTAGTTAATATTTTGTTAAGTGATTTTTTTTTTGAGTAACTTGTTAAATGCAAATTTTACCCTATTTTTTCCTCTTTTTTAATGTATATAAATATTTTATATCTATCTTAAATATAATATTAAAAAGCTGTGAGCAATTAGACATCAAAATTTATTATTCAAAATTAAAATGCATTTTGAATATTATTAGTTGACAAAAACTAAAAAACATTGTATAATTTCAAATCTAACATTTGACTTTAAATAAATAATTTTTGTTCTAAACCAGGAGGATCACTGTCAAATACAGTTTTCTTTCTCTTTATCTAAATGTCATCAACATAATGGCCTTGCACTGGTGATGAGTGATGATATCGTCTTCTTTGAGAAAAATCTTCATTATCTTCATTAAGTTGAGTTGGTGATACATTTGGATTATAAGTAGGTGTCACCACTACTTGCTCGTAATCAGTCATACGTTTTCTAAAAAATTTAAAATCATTAATTTAACCAGCAATTCAAAATTTTTGTTTGTGTATTACCCAAAACAACGAAAAATAACATTTTTTAACCAAACAAAAAATCGAAATTCTGAAGTTAACCCAGGTTTAACAGCTGGATTAGCTGTTCCCACATAAAACCAAATGATGAAAACGATTAATATACATATGCATGCATATATCCAGTTAACTAACATCATAATTAAAATTTTGGTCATCGCCTGTGATAAAATAGAGAACAATGAATGTAATTTTATCATGTATGTATGTATTATTTTTAAAATTTAATAAACATACCCCAATCAAGGAAGCCCAACGATTACAAAATCCTGAATACCAATTTTTAGTTTTCGAATGAATTGGGGCTCGAATGGGTGCAATCGGTTCTTCTTCACCTGTACCGACGCTTGTTTGATCTTCCAAACTTGTAACACTTCCATTATTTGTACTATTTGTTCCATCTCGGAAAAATACTGCATCGATGTTACTATTCACACTATTGCTTGTCGGAATAATTGGAGCCGCTACAGAAGAGCTTTGATCAGTCTGATTTAATATTTGATTTTGAAAAGAAGGCACATGTTGTGGTGAATTTTTTGGACTCTATATTTTAAGTTGGTTTAATATTTATTTTACATATAAAAATCAATGCAACGGTAAATTACATACCTGTAAATTTTTGTGTCTTGTTCTTTCTGGAAACAAATGATCCAAGTCGTTATCGTCTTGAACCGCTCCATATCTACGATTTTCATATAAGGGACTTTGAGCTTGAATACGAAATCTTTCTTCTCTTCTTTCCTGTATATCAAAAGTTTGCGCTAATGCAAAATATGCGTAATCAATGCAGGCATATGTTAACAAAAATGGCATTGTTACAATTGGGGCTAAGAAATTTATATCACCTACGATGATAAATGTTATTGTTATTGTAGCAACAACCGCCATCGAATATAATGGAACTTTATTGGGCCCTCGCTTAAATTAAACAATTTATTTTTAATAGTATATTAATAGTATTTAAGGTAATGAATGTTACCCCTTTTCCTAAAATTTCAATTCCTGGTATCACATTTTCATTTGCAATGCTTTGCAAAACTCTTGGCGTTCCATACATAGCACCTAAACAACTAGACATGCTAGAAACATAAATACCTGCTAAAAGTAAAAATTGTACTGCAGAAACTTTCACAGCAATCATAAAATCAGTATAAAGGATATCTCGACGACATGTAGCACCCAAAAATAAAATAAAGACTAGATACAAAAATGTCCTGAAATAAAATGTATAAAATATAGGCGAGCTATTCCATATTCCGATTAGTTTTCTTTAACTTACGAAGTCCCAAATGCCGCCAAAGTTCCGTTGGGAATGTCAGTCGATGGTGCACGTAAATCACCGCTCATATTTATACCTGACAAAACTCCGGTAACAGTGGGAAAAAATACCCCAAATACTGTAAACCAAGAGTAACCTTGTTCATATTTTTGAAATAAATTTTCTACAAAATTATTGCTTATCCATCCATCAAAACCATGAGCTGTAAGAATATGCGAAAATAAAGAATTTATTTTGTTAAAAGAATTGTTAGAACAAAAATATGTGGAATGTTCTTGCCTCTATCTTCTCCAACAAAACTTCCGACCATAAAGTCTAATGCTGACAATAGTAATATAATAAGTAAAGCAAATTGCAATTTTACTACCCATTTCACACCAGCAACATTAATTACTCCTAATAAGAGGACAGCTGAAGCTGCAAATCCTCTTATTACCCATTTGTTACCATCCATGTTTACAAGACCTGCCATAGATTCCCCAAAGCCCATTACATTTAGAGCGCAACCAACAGCTTGACCAAAGCAATAAATTAACCCAAGTGATCCTCCAAATCTAGATCCCATGGTATGGGCAATCAAAAAGTATACTCCACCACTTTCGACTCGACATCTTTCACATATTCCAACAGCCGATAAAATTGATATTAACGCTACACCTACTGTACATATAATTAGCAAAACTGCATTTATTATTCCAGCTTGGGCAACAATCCATCCCGACCGTAGAAAAACAATCACACTAAGAGTATAATTTTTATAAATAAATTTAAGCAGAATACTTCACATACCCAAAGACATTAATTAAGCAAGACGTGAATACACCATCCCAAGTACCAAATAAGACTGGTTGCGTGATAAAAAAATTTGTTCGCCACCAAGGTTTATCACCTAGAGTTAAAAACAATTATATAAAACACGTAAATTATAAATAAATTTTAAGACCTTGTTCGCCAGCAAAAATTTCATTTGCCCCCGAAGCTTGGTGTCCACCAGCTGCGTATTCATATTCTGCTCCCAAATCTACAAAACCACCAGAGTTTCCCCGTTGACGCCGATGGAAATTTGGTTCATCTTCACTTCCTAACCCAAATCTAAAATTTAGAATTGCGAAAAGTTATAAAATTAAAGAAATAATTTTAAATACGAACCTATTCCAATCAACATTAGAAGTTGGCCGATAATTTGATCTATCATGTTCATTCATTTCTTCTAGTTACCAAATAGTTCTTTTTTAATTTTTATATTAGATTATAAATGATAAGGTAAAATACTTCAGATAATTTTAATTAATGTACGATAGAGCTTTCTTTTGTTTCTTGGTGATATCATCTCATGTTTTTAATTATTTACTGTCTAAAACCTGCAGCAGTTATCTCAATAAATCAAATAATCTATGTTTTTGTATACGTGTTTTCCAATTCTTTAGAAAGTATTAAGTATAATAATTTTGTTGCGTACTTAAATTTATATTAACAGAAAATTTTATTAAATTGTAATGCTATCTTCACAAAATCGCTTGGCAATTGCTTGGTATTTTAATACTTTTAATGTCAGATAACAAACATTGCAATGCAAGCAATATTTTGAGAATATTGACATATTATTTTGACATTAAGTTCATAGTCCTTTCGCAGCTTTGTATTTACAGAGTTTTACTACATATATTACACATGATTTCCAATATGAATTTTCTATTATTAACTTCAACTTTTAAACAACAATTTCTAAATGGAACTTATCTATGACATAAGAAATTAGGTTTGACTTTTTTATTAGCTATTAGGTATTTTTCTCAAATTTCGTAACTTTCAAGTACTACGTTCAAGTTCATTGTTAAATTAAATGTATTAAATGTTTTAGCATAATGATGTATGCCTTGTTTTCTTAATACTCGTAAGATGAAGGTATGTGTTTAAATTTAACTGTTTAAAAGAAGTTATGAATTTAAATTATTTGAAAAAATTTAAAAGAAAATTTCCTAACATTTTTGACTTAAATGAAAAACTCTGTTAGTGTTGATATTTTTGAAGCATTTCTTAATTTAATTTTATTAAATTTAATTAGGAAAAACATTCAAAATTTATTTCAATATTTTTAACAAATATAATATTAAAATAAGGAAAAATTTTATGAAAAAATTCGCATGATATTTCAATAACACTGCTTCGTATATAAAGCAAGAACACTGCTTTATATGCTGCTGAACCTACATATGTACATACATACACATTTATTGTCCTTATAGTGCAACATATTATGTACATTATATTATGTACATTGAGGTCTATTTAAGTAAGCCCATTGCAAATTAATAAAGCTTAAGAGTTTTTTGTTTTTGTTTCCTGCTCACTAACTCAACTTCACTTTTAATATCAACTGAATTTAAATTTTAAGTTAAATTTTCAAATTTATATGATAACTATTATATCGTCTTGAAAGCTTATTGCAAATTTTACTCTAAAAACAAAAAACTTAGAATAAGGCAATAATATCGGAACCAATATTGCTGGTCATAATCATAGATATCTGTCGCTTCGAATTCAAATAACATTTTGTTGAACATAGAGCATTTACCAAAATGCAGATCTAATGTCAATTTGATTTATTCAGCAACACAATTTTAATTGCTGAATAAGTCAAATTGACTTCAGATTTGCATTTTTCTTGACGCTCATAGTGTTCGTTGCGCTTTTTATTTATTTATTTATGTAAGTATTTTTAATACCAAATACTAACATATGTACGAGCAATACTAGCAGGTTTATTCATAGAATATGTATAATGTAATTATGTATTGACATATTGAGGAATAAATTAACCGTTTATACTTATTGTGTATACAATAATAATGTTGATATATGAAATATAAAATAAATATGTTAATCATCTTGTATAAAATATTAAAATTATAGTAAGTTTATTATATAATTATTTTTGTGTAGATTCGTTTTTATTGAACGCAAATACCTATATTAAGTTTCACACGCTCTTTGTACAAAATGTAATATGTAATCACTCTCAGGAGACGTATATCACAGGATGTTGTGTTACCAATTCTGATAAGAATATTTTTGTATACTTATTTGGTTATTAACTATATATGCGTTAATTTAAAAAGGAAAGCACTACACAAAATTTCTACAAATATAATGGAATATAAATTTTGTATGTTTTTATATAATATGTATGTTACTTTGTGTGTGAGTCTAGTGTATGCTTTTTGTAAAAACATATGTAATATTTATATATTTATGCATATGTGTATACATAAACATAAGAAATATAAGAAATTGTAATAAAAAAGGGAAAACCAAAACAACTCAGTTATAATTTTATTACGAGACATTTATTAAAAATTTTACAACAAGTTTCCCATAGTAATAAAAAAACAAAAAAAAAATGTCAAAAAACTATGAGAATAAACATATACATACGTGTAATCATAAATATTATGCTCAATTTCTCAAAATATTATGCGCATGGCGAGCGATTAACAATTTACAAAAATATGAAAAATAATTTGCTCAGGTGAACTGGGTGTATATATATAAAATGTCAATATATGTGTAGTATAGTATATTGTAAACCTAGAAAAGAAAGAGACAAAATTAATTAAATTGCCTCAAGTCGTTTTTATATACTTTAACAAGAATCTCATGAAAGTTTCTGTAATTCTTTTGAATCGTGGGTGCGTATAAAAGTAGTCTATATTTAAAAATAATTGGGGAAATTTTTTTTTATAACTGTTATCGAATAAACATATGCAAAGAGTATGAAAATATTGTATGTTGTTATAAAATAAATAATCATTGTGAAAAATCAATAAAGGAATCAAACGAATTATATCAACTTTGCTTTAAGGGCTCCATTGGTTTCAAATCTTTTTTAAACTTTCTGTTTTAAAAGTATTTATAATTCTTTTAAGATAATATTGTTCACGATTTTCCTGTAATTCAAGATAATGATCCTTATAGAAACCATTTATTCTAATAACTAAACTGTATATATACTTCTTGTTTTTCTTAACGCTATTTCATCTTAAATATTATGAAATTGCATATTTCTAGGAGGAGGACAAATCATAAAGGAAGCATTATAATAAAGTAAACAGGCTTTATAAATCGGAAAGTAAAATTTTATGAATTTTAAGAGGTGATGACGGGGGAGGGGATGAAAACTAAAAATAATTTGCTTTTTTATACTTTAAACTCTCAGAGGCAATGTTTTTTAAGGAATGGGAGATATACTTCTGGCGAATGATGTTCTTTCCAAAAAAATTTACTTGTTTGAAACTTGTAATAAGATAAAAATATTTATATTCTCCATAAATTATAAAAGAAATGCCGGGAAATATGCAAATTTTTCACTTATATAAAATAGATCTTATCGGAAAAAATTATTTATATACATAGGTACATATGTGCATTATGTAGTTTAATGTTTTCAATTTAATTTTGGGAGACACTCTTATAAAGTATGTATTTTCGAAATAAGAAAATCAAAAAAAAAATGAACATAATATACGTACGTATAGTGAAAATAAAATTAACGGTTACATTTGCAATAAGGGGAAAAATATACTATTATTTAAATTTAAAATAATGTCCTTTTGTTTTTAAAAGGATATATTTTCTCAATAAGGATAACTGTTATACAAAATTGGGAAAATTCTTTTTCAAAACAAGCAAAACAAAAAAAAAGTGCTATTGAGTGTACTTTCAAATGATTTTCATTTCTTTTTGTGAGAAAACCAATTTTCTTTTCATTTTAAATGAGCCAGTTTGAGAATGCTTGCGAATCGAAACGGTTCTTTAAGATTGTATACGCGGTACTACAAATATTCGTCGTGCTGTGAATTTTTTTTTTATTTGGTGTAATATGTTTTTTGTGTGTATATTTTGACAAAAATAAAAAAAAAAAAAATGAAAAAAATATTATAAATTCTTTGTATTTTGCAAATCAAAAAAGAGAATTAATAGAAAAAAAATTAATATTTTCTAAAACAACTTTAAAATAAAAATATTACATTTAAAAAATATTAAAAATGAAAAATAAAAAGAAAATTCTCAATATAAATTATTATAATTCTTCAATATTACATATCAATATAACTTTACAATAAAAAAAAAAAATAAAATTAAAAAGGATAACGTGACATTTTCCTTAAATATATTGGATTTTATTAATTTGTATATATACGATATATATGTATATATAACACTTATGCACTAAATATAAATAAATATATATATATATCGTAAATACATCACTATTTATATTTGGGTGTATGAAACAAAAAGGAAAAAAAAAAACAATACATAAAAGTAACAACACCTTTTTATTAAATTAATGGCAGTAATCTGTCAAAAGAATAATAAAATATAATAATTTATATATCACTTTATATCTGTACATACATACATACATATTAACACATTTTAAATAAGTATGTAAAGGCATTTACAATGAAATATTAAAAATTTTAAAAATAGTTTATTACATTAAATATATATTATTTATTTAATCATTTTTTATATCAATTGAATTTAAAGCAATTTTGAGAAAATAAAAAAACAATAAAATAACGTAATTCCATATCAAATTGAATTTACAATAATTTTTCATACCATAACAATAATTTTATTAATTTCTGTCCTTTATAATATTTATATATTAATTTATATTATGAATAGTATATATTAAAAGATATTGAATTATAGGTGTTTAAATTAAGTAAGTGAATTGTTGAATAAAATTAATTTTAATAAATCCAAATTTCAATTTTTTTTTAATTTTAAATATAATTTTAAAATACAAAAATACAAAATTTTATATAGAATACGATAACAAGAATTTTGATCAATTTTTTATTATTGTTTAACTTTAATATTCATTATTTAAATAAAAAAATTAAAAAAAATCTAACAAAGTTACTTGAATTTCTGCTTTATATATTATTAATTTATATATTTTTATTATTAAAATTCTTTTAAATAAATATAATAATATATAATATAATATAATATATAATTTTGGTGAGAAAGTTGTAAAAAAAAAAATAAAAGGACTTAAAAGAGAAAAATACCATAAAAAAAAAATACCAAATATGCAGAACAATGTAAATGTAAAAAAATAATATAGAAAACTGTTATATGTGTGTAATAGTGTTAGTGAGAAAGAATCCTATTTTTTTTATTTGTTTTAACATTCTTTAAACATTGTACGTATATACATATAAGTAATATTATGTGTATATTTTTATTATAATATATATTACAGCTATTATCATAGAAGTTATTTATGTAGTTTACTATATCTACATAAATATATATTATACATATATGTTTATTGATAAATTTCTAAATATTCAAAATTTGTATTATATATAAAGTATATATATGTATGTTTGAATAAAACAAAGTGTATTTAAAAATATAACAGTACTAATATAGCAAAATACACAAAAAAAAAAAAAACAAAATAATAAAAAGAAATAATACCCCAAGTTAACATTCATGTTGCGGTGTATATTTATAAGTGTATATAT